TAATTTATAGTATGAAGTGTGTAGAATATAATACATAATAATCAAATATTTATATTATTGCGAAATATAAAAAATAGTTACTTACCTCGCGTAATCATCCATATCGTCGTCAATCATAAAAACCACTATAATGAATTAACTATTATTTCTAACAAAACATACTTAGAACCGCTCTAACTGCTTGTTATGGCGCGACTGAGGCTGCTGCACATGCATAAACGCTTCCCGACACGATTTGCTTGCACATACAAGTTCAAACTTGCAAATAATAAGTCAGCGCGCTGTGATGCCACATGGCAACACTAGGTTAAAAAGGGTTAAATGGGTTTTTTGTTTACATAAGTAAAGCCAATTTTGTCTTTCTAAAACTATAGCCATTGCTGATTCTAAATAAGCTAGCGGGTTCTTTTGTATATACGAATTCTCCATAATCATTGTAGCTCATTAAACCTCTTAAATAAGTTTGTAACGCGGTTTTTTTATATAAATTTGTTTTTAATACTCTTTCTGTTTGATGTACGGTTAATTTAATTTTGGTTAATAGCAAATTTAATGCATCTCTAATTCTATAACCTAATGAGTAAGGATTTTCATTTAATTCTGGATTTATTTGCATTAAGTCTGTCAAAAGGCAATCTTCTGATCGCTGATCTGAATAATTTAATTCTAAACATGTTTTAATATCATGCCAGATTATCAATTCGCGTGAAGCAATCAAGTTTTGTGCTCCTCCTATAAATTTCCCATTTATAATCTTAATTATAAATGAGTTTATTGGATTTGCTAAATTATCAATGTCAAAATAAACTGAAATGAACTCTTCACAAGCTTCAATAAATAATGGTAATACTATTGCACTGCCATCAAAATTTGGAATACCGTTTACTTCGGTTGGTGTTATCGAAGAGCGTGTAAAAGGCATTTTGTTCGAAATGTTTAAGTTTCTAATTTTTAAAATTAATTCGTCAATTTTGTTTTGAAATAATTGATAATTATGGTTTACAGAAAAATTAAAATTACTTACAGGCTAATTATTGTGATTAATGTTTTCATGTGTTCGTTCTCTGTTGTTTTCTGTTGTTTTTGACTCGGGGAAATTTTATCCGCTGGTCGGGGTTGGTGTGTACGGCCGGAAAGGTTGATCCGTATGTACGTTTCGGGGCTGGTCGGCATTTAGGAAAAATATCCTTCGTCCTGGGGTTGATACTCTCGCCAATTTTAGACTTTGGTACCTTGAAATCAATTCACTGTTCGGAAGCCAATGTCGTTCTCTCGTATCTTGTAATTATTCTCGGGTCGCGGGTTATAAAGTTTTGAAAAACACCACACTTGAAAATTTCCAATGTATTAATCGTAATCTTCGATGTCTTAACCACTTTGCATCCACTACTGACTGCGATACTTTTGTTTTTGAAGTTAGAAGTTTTATTTTTAAAAACTCTTTTCAAAAATTAAGTTATGTTTATTTTAGAATTAATTACAAAGTTCAAACTAACACTATAACGACGTCGAATGAAATGAATTACTTATTAAGATTTTCGTGGCCTTTTATACTATTTTCAGAAGATTTATGCTGAATAAGGGCTTTTTATGGAATTCTGGGGATTCTAGGATGATTCATGGTTCTCCTTAGATATGGTGACACATAACTTATATAGAAACGTAGTTTAACTAAAACTTGGACATGATGCGAAGCAAACACGTCAAGCAAGAACTATGACTAATACCGCCATGACGATTCTACGATTTCTTTTTCTTGATATTTATTCTCAAAAAGTCATATAAATACAGGATAATTACATATATAATTTTTTTCTCATATATACATTACTTAGATAACATTATAACAATTTATAAAATAAGTGATTAAAATTTTAATTATTAAACCTCGTGAAGGACGAACAATGCCGAATATTATATGTATATACCGAATACGGTAGCGCTAACCAGCGGTGTGACAGGGAACTACATACTTACATAAATTTATTCCTATGTCGTGTCACCCCCCTGGGAAGCACAACCCCTAAATCCCCGTCGGCATCCACACCGCAAGCGGGACCGTCCGGAGGCGAGGACTTCATAGAAGTTCGCCACCGTAGACACCGGCATAGACCGTGTAGGGCCGAACTAAACAGGAGAAGGAAGGAGAGAGGAAGGGCTCTCGCTTCCCAAAACCTGAAACCAGGGCACAACCGGGCCCCTCATAAGCCACCCAGGGGAGCTAGGACCAACCAACCACTGCAAAGTGGTAGGAAAGATGTCCGCACCCAGGGACAGGCGAGGGAGCAACCCAAGCGGCACCGAACCCTCACTGAGGGAATCGAAGAGGAAGATGCAGGAATCCGCCCTGGATAAACCGGCTCAACCGGGCCCAAAAAAAGGCTTCAAGGACGCGTTGATGTCGCACCTTAAGGTTGCTATTATTAACGCCCAAAATCTGCTGGGTAAACTCAGCGAGACTCAGGCCGGACACGTTAAGTACGAGCTGACGAACGCTTTGGTTGAAGTAATTACTCAGCTTGACCCTAAACAACAACAAACGCCTATACCAACGTTTAGATTGATGGTCTATGCAGGTCAGATCTTAAAGGTCGCCTGCAACGATGACCACTCTCTAGCGTGGTTGAAGGCTGCAGTACCGCTGATACCGCCCCTAGAGGGCGTAGTATTAAGCGTTGTTAGGGAAGTTGATCTTCCTACCCTGTCAAGAATCCAAATTTGGATTCCCGATACTGATGTGGATGTGACACGTGTGAAGTTGGCCATAGATTTCAGCCATAGGTTTTAAACTGAAAAAAATGCGTGATCGGGGTATTTAATCGATCTAATTTCAACGGCATCGTATTCATGGTCGCTTCTTGTTTCAAATTCGAAAAGAAAATTTTCCTAACCATTTCCTATAGTCCGGGAAAATCGATTTTCTTCAAACTTTCGCAAAATTTGGCCCGTTCGGGGTTTTTAATCGATCTAATTTCAACGGTAACGTATTCCTGGTGGCCTCTTGCTTCAGATTCGAAAAGAAAATTTTCCTAACCATTTCTTATATTCCGGAAAAAATCGATTTTCTTCAAACATAAGTAAATGTCGGCCTGTTCGGGGTTTCTAATCGATCTAATTTTAACGGCATCGTATTCTTCTTAAAGAAAAAAGTTTTCGATGAAGGGTTTGTTACATTCCGAAAATTTGTATGTTATGTGTGGGTGACTTGTTTATGTGTAATGGGTTATGAGTTGCATACATTCGGAAACTTATTATTATTTTTATTTATTTTGTTTACATTTTGTTTGTTTATAACATTTTATTGTTTTCTCTTTCAGCAACATATTCTGAGTATTCCTTTTTTTCCTTTTAACTCCTATCACTTTAAAATTCTCCTTTTTGCTTTTGAGAGGGTGTCGTAAATTCATGATGTTATCTTGCGCAGACGTAATTTTTTTGATATTTTCGATCTTTGGGTATAAAAGACCGTTCAAGTTTCTTCTTGAGCCTCTCTTTCTTACTATATTACCAGAGCAATACGTGTTCTCGAGTGTTAAAGAAATTTTGGTTGGTTCGCCATTTTTGGTTTTGGTGTAAAATTTTGTTTCTAATCCATATTTGTGGGATTCATCACTCGAAATAAAGTTTTGGAAAAGTGTTTTTCTTTTACCAAATTGTACGGAGATTCCGGATTTCAACGTATTTCATTACATTTTCTTCTGTCCTCTGGTTAAACCTCGAACATCAGAGGTAAGCATTTTTGTAAGGTTTTTATTAATTAGTTTTTGGCATATTCGTTCACCCTTTCATATTTTTCTTTTGATTCTTAAACTAACAATCTACTAAATCTATTTTTCATAAAAATCTAACTACTTAAAAAAAAAAATTACTAATTACTTAAAAAGAAAAACTATCCTACAAACAAAAATTCTTAAATCTAATATTTCCACGTTTCATTTTTTTTTAATTTCTATATCCAGGTTTTTGTTGAGGGGAGCAACTTTTGGCCTCTCTTATTGGAACAACCTTTTTTTTATTGGTATTTTGGAACCATTGTCCAAGGGTATAATTTCCATTACATCCTAAGGATTCTAATTATTCTTTTGGAACAAAACAAAGAATATTACCTTACCTTTCCTGAGTCACCAGAATTTGTTGCTGAGGAATTATTTCGAATCGGACCGGTGATCAAGACATGGAGTAAAGGTCAGATAGAACAACATATTATTATTTTGGTCATTGAAGAATTTGTATCTTATATATTTTTTTTATTGTTTTGATTTTCCTTAAGAAGATCTTTAAATTAATTAATCATTGGAACATCAAACTTTTCAATTTTTTTTGTAAATTCTGGTTTGGCGAGATTTTTTTTTAAATTCTGTTCTGGCGTTGATTTTTTTATAATTTTTGATTTCACGTTGAGCTCAACCATACGGAGTCAGACGCGGCTTAATTTTTCATTTTCATTTTTTGGTATTTTGATTTAAATTTCCTTTCAGTTTTGACTTTCATTTTTTTTAAAGCTCGCAAACATCAATATAGTTTTTTTTTGTTCTTTGAACCTAAAAGTTTATGGTTTTATAATTTTGTTATTAGTTTTTTTTTTTTTACTTACCTGTTATTTACGGGAGTTTTAATAAATTTTGTCTGCAACTCAAAACCTATTTTGTTGAGCGTTTATGTTTTGTTGTGTTATTTGTTTATATCACCATACTCCATCATCTCACGTCACAGTTCGTGTTGTACGCGGGGTTAACTGTGTGGCGCCATATAAATACCCCTCCCTTCTTCACTGAGCCGGTCGAGGACTCGCGTACATCTCAGGGTGATAAAACTAGTTTTGTCCTTGTTGAAAATTATGTTATTTTTTTTTGTTTTGATTTAAAATCTTTTAACGCATTTGGCGTCATAAATTTTTGGCGCCCAACGTGGGGCCCTTTTAAAAAAAAAAAGATTGTCGGTTAAAAGTAAAGTTGGTATTGTTGATAGAACCCGTCATAGGTTCGTTATTTTGATAAACTATGGAGGGAAAATTGGATGTGGCGAGATTGAGCGCGGACGCGTTGCGATACGAACTCAAAGTCAGAGGTGTTACAGAGCAATTAGCGCACGATGAGACATATGAGGCATACGTTGAGAAAGTTAATAAAATTGGAGAAAAATGCTAGTTTTGTTTTACCGGATTATCCGTTTAATTTCGTGGACGATTTGAAAGCCATACGGGAGGATTTGGCGCAAATACAGATCAAAATCGATGAGTACGCGGGAATCGCGAATACGATATATTTGTTGGGGCGCGAATACGATATACTTGTTGGAGCGCGCGAATCGTTCACAACCGAAAGAGAAAGCCGATAAAGACTTAAGAACGGGGTTGGTTACACAAATCGTAACGTTGATATCGAGACTCGAATTGAAAACGAGAACTACTTCTACTCTAGATCCTTCGTCGAATCTGAGTGATACGTCATCGGATGATAGCGATGTTCCAGATGGTATGGCGGGATCCTCTAAATTAGTTTCGGTAACGAAGTGGGGAATTTCTTTCGCCACAGACGGTAAAAGTTCTTTGAGTGCGTTTTTAGAACGCGTAAATGAATTAAGAGTCGCGAGGGGTGTCTCGAAGTCTGTTCTGTATACATCTGCGGTGGATTTGTTTAGGGATCGAGCGTTGATATGGTATCGTGCGAACCGGGGTAATTTCGCGAATTGGGAGGAATTAGTGGAAGGTTTAAAGTTAGAATTTCAGCCCGTTGATTACGATGATAGACTCTTTGAAGAGATACGTCATCGCACACAGGGACCTGGCGAATCGATGGTAATTTATGTGTCGGTTATGAGGAATTTGTTCTCACGGTTAAATACGCGAATACCGGAAGATACTCAAGTTAAGCTAATGCTTAAAAACTTAACTCCAGCTTTCCAGCGACAATTAACTTTGGTTGAGGTCGATTCGGTTGAGCACTTATTGCGGTTGGGGAGAAAATTAGAAGCAACTAAGTTATCCGTGGATAGTTACGCACCACCGAATCGTGTTGCAAGGGTATTAGAAGCAGACTTAACGTACATTCAAACAGACGAGACGGTATCAGTTGCGGAGGCGGTCGAGCAAAGCGCGACAACGAGCGAACCAATATGTTGGAACTGTCAAAAACGTGGACATATTGCTAGAGAGTGTAGAGCTCCTAAGAGGTTGCATTGTTTTCGATGTGGTGAACAGGGTGTGATTACTCGAAATTGTTCTCGGTGTTCGGGAAATGGGTCCAGGGTGCGACGTTAGGTCGGTGTCTGCACCAAGCGAACGTAAAGCCGATCGGAGTTTTGCTTGATTTTGTCTTTAGTCATGTACGTGATGACGAGAGACCGTATTTAACTGTTAGCGTGCTGGGGAGAAAAATAGTCGGATTGCTTGATTCGGGGGCTAATCAGACGATTGCGGGTTTTCGGGGCATTTCCTTTATTAAAGAAATGGGATTACCGATACATCCCACCAATAAGAGAATCACGGTCGCGAATGATGAGAGTTGCTCGGTTGAGGGCGTAGTGAGCTTGCCGATGGAATTGCAGGGTCGGGGAAAAATCGTGGAAGTTTTGTTAGTACCGGGTTTGAGACACGAACACATATTGGGAACAGACTTTTGGCGAACGATGGGTATAGTACCTAATCTTAGGCGCGGTGATTGGTCGTTTTCAAAAGAGCCACCGTTGGTGAGAGTTAATGCGATACAGGCGCGATCCGAACTTAATCGGAAAGACGAAATTAAGTTGCGGGAAATTATCGAGAATCTATTTCGTAGAGATATGGAAGGCGAATTAAGTCATACGACGTTGGTGGAGCATCATATTCGTACGGATGCGTTACCGATAAAACAGAGGTACTATCCGATTTCTCCGGCAATGCAGAAAGTAGTAGATAGGGAACTCGATGAAATGTTACGGTTGGGGGTCGTGGAGAGATCGCGAAGCGCGTGGTCATCACCGGTATTGTTGGTTCCGAAAAGGGATGGCGGTTATAGATTCTGCGTGGATTATAGACAACTTAATAAGGTTACACAGGCGAATGCGTATCCTTTGCCGCAGGTATCATGGACGTTAGACCGTTTAAGAGACGCAAAATATCTGTCATCAATTGACATCAAATCGGCGTACTGGCAGATACCGATGGCTAAAACGAGTATGCAGTATACGGCATTTACGGTACCGAATCGCGGGTTGTTCCAATTTAGGCGTATGCCTTTTGGACTGTCGAATGCTCCGGCGACGTGGCAAAGATTTATTGATGGGGTAATAGGAAATGATTTAGATCCACATGTTTTCGTTTATCTCGATGACATAATAATAGTGACCGCGACGGTGGAGAAGCATTTCGAGATTTTGCAGACGGTTTGCAATCGTTTGATAGAAGCGGGACTTACTTTGAATAAAGAAAAATGTCAGTTTTTCCGGGATAGCCTTAAATATTTGGGTTACGTGGTAGACGGTAACGGGTTGCATGTCGATCTGGATAAGGTCAAGTCGATTCTGGAAATCCCTGTACCAAAAAAATTATCGGAAGTTAGAAGGATGATTGGTGTATCGAGCTGGTACAGACGTTTCGTGCCGGGTTTCGCGACTATAATTTCACCATTGACGGCTTTGCTTAAGAAAAATTGTAAAATACTTACGTGGTCGAACGAATGTGACGAGGCGTGGAAAACCATAAAGGAGAAACTTGTGACTGCTATTATTCTGACGCGTCCCGATTTTGATAGCGAGTTCGTTATACAGACGGATGC